TCCTAACGTTTGACGACGATAACAAGATCTGATGCAGGATCCAGGCGAACGCCGGCCAACATGATCAACCCAAAAGTTACTGCATTTCAACGTCAGTAAACGCAAGGTGCTTTCCATCCGACATCAAAGCAGCTACTCATACCGGCTCCGAACGAATATACTACGGCGATCAACTCTCCAACGTGGCTTGGTTGTCCTGGTTCAAGATGACTTGGGTGGCTCCAGGCAATCCGAAAAGACCTTGAAGACTAGGAACCAACACGTCGGGCTGTTGTGACGGGCGATTGGACAAATAAACAGCTCCATATTTCGACAAATGCTCAGTGCGTATGTTCGCCCTCATGTCGAATACGCAATTTAAGCCTGGCATCCATGGCTGAAACACGACCTTAATGCACTGGAGCAGCCACAACGTCGCGCATCTAACCACGTAATTGGAATGCGCAATCTTTCATAACAGGGAGGCTGCAACGATTGAGGGTATTCCATGGAGGTTATCGCAGATTATGAGGCGATCTGCTTATGGCATACTTGATTCTGCGAGACCCACATAATGTGTGCCGCCCTTTACTGCAACTCAGCAGCAATACAAACCTGAGGGGCCACTCATTAAAACTCACAGAACAATACAGTCGTCTGGAGTGCTGCAGAAATTTCTTTTCCATTCGCGTCTGTCACCCGTGGAATGCTCTCCCGGAATCGATCGTCTCTGCACTGACGCTAACAGTATTTAAAAGATGGTTGGACGATGCACTTATCCACTTACACTTTGTTGCTTAACACTACGTCTCCATCCTACACCCGGAGTTTACCATGGAATTATTTGTTGTGAACTGCAGGTGCTGTGATTCTAATCGGATTGCAGGACTATGGCGGAGCAAACAATCAGTTCTTATTTTCAGATATAAAGTACTAACTGTTTTACTATCATTATTATCGTTAATGTTATGTCGATATCCCCACCAACTATCCAACGGGACTTGCAAAGCAACGCCACTTAACCCGTAAAAATTCGTTTTTCATTGAACAGTTTTAAGTCTTCTTTCTCAATTTGTTTTATTAAGGGAGGGAAAGTGAATCCCCGCAAGATATAGAGACACACGTCCGCCACTGATGTCAGGGATGGTACCAACCATTGAGATTGAGTCAAGATCTCTGTCAGAGGTATTGTCAGCGGTGCTGTCTTTCAAAGTGATGAGAAGTGGAACTCAGCGTCGAGTTTATCTACATCTTAGGTGTTAAGTGATTTTCAGAAATATTTCCAGAAGCTTGTCCTAGGATTCTCCACAGATCAGGGCAACTGTGGTTGCCTAAAACGGTCTGAGCGTTCAGTGTTTAATCTTCCTACCACAGCTTCTATAGCCATAGACAGACGTTTTATGCTGGAGGTCAGTTTATGTGTGTAATTGCTAGGTCAACGTTGATGAAAGCCTGTCATTTCGTAAATATATTGTCTCAATGGGGCAGTGTTGAGGAAAATAGAAATGACTATAGTTTGTCCTCTCAGTCTCATTAAGATGCTAACTGAGGGCAGCAAAGATAACTGGGTGTATCGCACTCGCAAGATTGGATTACGGATAACGCAGCCACCTGTAAGAGGGTCTAAGTGGCACAAAACGAATCCATCAAATCAGTATGTTGCTCAGTCTGTAGTGCATCGGAGGAAGTACTACTGCGCCAGAAGCGAGTAGTGTGATAGAAACAGGAAATTCACATGGAAGCACGAAGCGCATACGTGCAAAAGGAAGTAGACGCAGACGCAGACTGCTGTCAGATCTAAGGTGTTCATTGGATGTGCGCTGTCCCAGTAAACAACTGTTCGTATCTCTAAGGTTCTTGCAGGTCTACAAAGCAGTGGGACAATTGGTGGATCAAGCTTGAGAAGTCATTGCTGTGGGCAGTTAGGTGAGTTGAGTTACCTTGTCCTACGCTCGGTAGTGACATGCGATTCAGTGGAGAGGAGCCATGTCGGTCGCTCATGTTAACGGTGACCTAGCGGTTGAAACCACTGAACCACAGCATTCGACCCTAAATGACTTAGTCATTTTCTGAAAGCAACACCGGTTGCATCATTGTGGTCGGAAAGAAAGAACCCGACAACATCTGTCCACAACCATTCACATTTGATTCCAAAGTGGGTGAAAGAGCCATCAGTGAGTGGTGATCAAGGGTAAGGAAGGGCGACTGAGACACTCGGGAACGCATACACCACCTAAACGCAATGTGAACAGGCACTAGATTGCCCGGATTCGTTTGTGGACAATGAATAGGAAATAGAGGAACGTAGTAGAGTCATCGTAACGAATGAAGCAGTAAATGGGTGTTATGTACTATTCTTGGTTAAGCTACGCTCTGACAATCTGGTATCAACTCTCCTAGTCGAATGAACCAACCAATGAATGTGTCTTGGAGCTATCTCATGCACGGCACAGTACCCGACAAAATTCGAAGTTGTACGACTCGTGGACTTAGCCGCAACACCACATCTACACGCGAGTTGGACGGGCTCCTAGACCGAATGCACTTCCACACGCAGCAACCCAACCAGAAAAAACAAGACAAAGACAGGCCCTTCGGGTTGGCAGCTTTACTGGCCAGGTTCAAGGGGATTACAGCGCAGTCCAGCCTAATTTTTACACCTCGAATGTAACATATGAGAACTTTTACATAAAATGGTTTGCGTAACAAGGCGTTGGGAGCAAGGCAAAGCAACTGAATTGGCGTCAGTAGTATCGTAATTGTTGGTAGACTCAAAGGCTGAACTGGGACAATGAATGCTTCTTAGGTAAAAAAAAGGTTGAAGGTTTCGTGTATTTTGGAGGTTGGCCGGAAACTGGAATGTTTGCTGAGGCACAAAGGCTAATCGACAGATGAATGTCTCACGAATTGGAAGGCTGATCGAAAATATGTGCGCTTGACTGAGTTGAGTTGTGATCACTATGGGAACGTTGGGTCCCCATAAGAATGGCAAAGTCCAACTGTTCAGAAGCCCAACCGAGTCGGTCTGATCAGGAAGAAGACGGATGGACTCACCAAACAAGACGAGCAATGGTGACTTGTTCTCTATAGCATTCCTCGGTCAAGTTGTTTCCTTGGCCAACAGAACTAATCTGAACGGCAAATGAGTTGCGCTGAGGGGCATACAAGTTAAGTTTTGACTCGCGTGTGCGCCGCTCACTTGTGCAGGTGTACGTGTGCTTGTATAGCCCGGCGCCTTCAACCAACAGCACCTCAGACGCACTAAGTCATAGGGGTGAAGGTGGGACGTTTCAGCTCCTACCAGGTACAGTGTCGGTGGCCGAAGTACCATGGGCGCCTTTGTTTGTCTGTCCAAGGAAACAATTCCCACCAATTAGAACGAGAGTAAGGATTTGAACGATAATTGGGCTGGTATAACGAGCCACAGCCAAATAAGTTTGCCGTGTGTCTTTAAACGTGCTGTTCACCTAAACGCAATGGCTGGCTTGTATGTTCGGCACCCGATGGAGGTGAAGAACGTCATACTGAAAGTGTACGGGAAAAGAGACGATTGGAAGCAGATTGCTTGCACACTGGAGTTGAATGTAAAAACTTGCCGCAACTGGATATGGGCGTACGAATCGACGGAACCGGTAGGGCAGCACGGGGGATTCTGTCGCAGAGCCCCGGGAGAAAACCACGTCGACTCTCTGGTGGACTGGGTTTCTGCGGAGCCTACCGGTACCCTTGAACTCCTTCGTTTGCGGTTGTAGGCGGAGTTCGAACTATCAGTAAGTAGCAGTACCGTCTCACGATAGTCGGATAGTAGACTGATAACAATGAAGAAACTGCACAACATTATGGAGTCCATGAACACGCTGGAGAACAAAAAGAGACGCAGGTCATTCGTGTGTGAAGCTCACACGGGTGTCGCCGACTGTCTGGATGACCGCACGTCTTTCGAACACTGGTGTGAACGCAGATCGTATGTTCACTCAACTGCAACCAGCGACATACAAGTGCGTATTTTGGACAGTGTTTGCAAGGTGCATTCTGAGTAAGCCTGGTGGAATAACCATCATATATATCACAGAACTGGATGTCAGTTGATTGGTTTAAAGTCGTCAGAAAACCTCGAATCAGTTGGCCCCTGCACAGAATTCGCCACCCCAAAACAAGTCTGTCTAGGCAACATAGAAAGCTGACACCAAGTGGTTCCTGACCAGTGATTATGTTTCGACAATCAAAGTTGTAATAAAACATTTTGACAGATTTTTAAGCAGAGTGTGAAGACAGAAATCAACTGGAGGTCACTAGGCCTCGGCACAACCATTCATACATAAGGCGCACCGAAATAGAAAGCGCACTGCCGACTTTTTAGCAAATATAAAGATTTTAAGTGCGACTTATAGTCCGGAAATAACTGTATGTATCCCACAGTATCAAGAAGTTCCTTTGATGCTGCCGTTTACATTACCGAGGTGTAAGAGAGGGATGCATTCATTGCTGACACTCACCCACCCTGACAGCTTTTAAATGCTATGTCGCACATAGCTGTTGTTAACGGAAATCGGAACCTCAATGGGCCAATTCCATTCGTCGCCACGTTTATAACTTGCATGGAAGTGAAGGATTAGTTGAGTTTTATAGCAATCAACTAGCAATGACATTTCGCCGCCGTCCCACATAGCTCAATGGTATAAACTGCTCGTCAGTGGCGCAAGACGTTAGCGGACAAGGGTTCGGATAGTGACAGAGTAAAGAGACGCACAATGCTGATGATTCCTGATAGAAAAAAATGGCTGTCTAGTGCTTTTCCGGGTGTGCAGAGGACTACCGTACTTGGAAGCTACCGTGAAGAGCGCTACAATTTACTGAGCCATAAATCGATATAAGAAATCAAGCTATAGTTTGGCTACTAATGTTGAATGAGTAGTAAAGTTTGACTAAACAATTTCGTTTAGACCTCGGAGATAGGGTAACAAAGGGTTGCGATGTATTTCTGTCACTAGCAAATTAGGACGAAATCAAAAGAGACTCACGACTCCCAATTTCTGAAAAGCAAGCGATCTGGAATGGTCACATGATGAAAAAAACCTTCGGGGCTGCTGCTCGTCTCTGCCTTGTCGGCGCAATGAAAGAGGCGGGATCTCCGCTTGCTGGACTTCGAGGTTCGCGTAGAGTCTGTAGGAGCAAACATTAGCAATTGAGACGAGCCAGCCCAGTTACATGATTCACTCGGAGGGTCACACTCATGTCGACGGAAATGGTGGGAACTGAAACTTCGCCGAATGGAGCGGAACAGTTTCTGGAGTTGAGAAAACGAATGCACCTTAGCCCAAAGCAAGTCCGCTTCGGACGGGAATGACTTGGCACCATTAAGATCAGGGGCAAATGAGGAACAATGGTTAATCCGGCAGGCGGAATCGACGAGGGAAGCGGAGGCGGAATCCAAATCGTTGGCGACACTGGTACTAGTGAGATCCGTGGGAGGTAGAGATGGAAGAAAATTGAACGCACTGTTGAGACCAGGTGTGGCCAAGGATGGAAAATAATCCGTGAGAAAACGTCTTAGTGAAGAGATGCAGTTATAAGAAAGTCCCACACAATGAAACATCAGCTCCAGCACAGGAGAGAAACCGCATTGAGAGAAAAGTCTTCTCATCAGACAGTAAGTAATGGATAAACAATTTATGATAACATGTCACTTTGAGGAAAATAATGAAGTGTGTTATGTAGAAAGTGGAGGGCGGTGGGGTAAACTCACATGGATGATGTAACCGTAAGTGGATCTTGTTGGTCAATGGATGACTTGGAAGCGGTGCGTGTGTGATGGGCAGAGTTGAATTTGTGCGAGGCTGTGGACTGAATGAAAAGAAAAGGGGTGGAAATTTTACGATTGAATTTCCACAAGTGAAAATACACAACTGCTGTGGTGAAAGGTGTGTCGCACTTCAGTCCCGTAGGGGAAAAGGTCAGTGATGGATGTAGTCATGACTAAGTACCAGATAACAGCTTGGTAAGTCGAAAGCATGGACTATGCTTAGAAGTGATCACGAAGTCATGGATTCGGAGGCATATGAAAGCAACTGGTGAATGCATGTGGTAGGAAACGTTCCGCTTCTGACGAGTAAGCTTGAACAGGTTGGGCGATTACCGGTATATAAATGGGACGGCGAGTCACAAAGTACACAAGCGATAACCGCGGTAACAGGGGCATGAACCTGGGAAAATCTTACGATCACACGTCGGTATGTGATTTAAAGCTATCCTTCACCTCTCCTCTCGCCATCGTCAGCCCAGCCGGGGAAAACATCAAACACCGAGCCTGCTATACCGAAGTATATCAGGAACAGAAAACGGTTCATTTTGTAGGTCAGATGCTCTTATTTCGCTGGTCTGTGACGGAGGTGATACACATCTCTTTTCAGGACTGAGTCAACCCTGGTGGCAACCTTCACTGTCTGGCTGTAGTTGCGATCAAGTCCGCACCATAACAACCAGTGTGGCTACGGTGCGCCGGATGGATGGCGCGGCAACCTGTGTCGTGAACTGCGCACTGAGTGAGTCATCTTCACGCGTGGTCTACCGCATGAAGCGCTAGTGTCACGAAAGCATGCAACGTTCTTAGATTGCGGCCTCCGATTACACCCCTTTTCGAAAGGAATCTGCATTTGTATCGTTCAAACTTGACTTTTTTCAAAGCTTTTCGCGTTGGGATCGACTTGTATCCATGGTGGCCATGACCGCTTTCGAGTCGGTCTTTACTATGTGTCATCCGGTGCTTGCAGCTACTGTTGTGATCCACGAAGCCGCTCAGCTTCGACTTCGAAGCCAAAGGTGTCTAGCAGGATGGCCCATGTTAGGGATCGCGCTTTTGGGGGATTTTGAGTTTTGCCGTGATTCGGGTTCAACTGATTGGCGTGCCTGACCCATTCCTTATTTCCTACCACTAGCTCGTAGATGACTCGACCAATTCTGTGGATCACCCTTCCTGTCGACTATCTGCTCGGTCCTCGTAAGTCTCGCGCGTACACCATGTGGCCAATTTTGAAACGGTGAAATTTATCTGCCCGATTTTCCCCCACATGCAACTGCAATGCTTTTCTACCCTGGTTGGCACAAGGCGCTTTGCTCTGGATAATGGTTTAGTGACTGCCTTGAGGTTCAAAACAGCACTAGTCATTCTGCAACATTCTAAACTAGGTTGGAGCATTGCTTTGTGACGACTTTTCATCTGTGTAATCTGACTACCGTTGAATTCCACCGTCGCATACTTACGTCTGATGGGTGCATCAACTTCGGAGGTGGCAGAAGTGTTGCTCATCCCTGGATTCCGAATTTGCAACCATCTTTGTACTAGGCTTCAAGCTGAGCAGCCTTTGGCATTCTGTTGCAATTTCCTGCGATGTCAGGTTCGGTTCGGGTAACCATTCCACTGGAATGTTTAAATGTTGCGGTATCAATTAGAGCAACTACCGTCAAACGTCGCGAAGCCGTAAAGTGAAGTGATTTCGGGTCAGAAAAATTTCGCGCATTGCAAAATCCCATTACATAGACATTATTATTTGAACAAATGATGGTACGATGACCACTGCATAGTAAAAGTCCAACTGGTCAATTTAGAAGGGTACGATAATAATGGTTGTAATGGTCCAATCAGTCAACATACAGAGGTCTGGTTCCGTAAGGTTTACATGGTGAACGTTCGCTCTATGAAAAAACAATCAATTTAGAGAGGTGGTAAAGTTCGGAGGTTCTATTGTATATACTAAGTAATTACTGGATCATCAGCGGTACTTGGCTGGCTTTTTGTCCACTTGTCCGGCGTAGGCTCCTTTTTCTCAACGAAGCTCCCACTGTCGTACTAGGTGTTGCCAGTTAAGGTTTACTGGCGGATGCGTGACGCTCAGTTGATACCACCACCCGAGTCGACCTGCTTCCCACCCTGCTCAGAAGTACGTGGTGCGTCCTTCGTGGCAGGTAGTATCAAACATCATAATCATCATCATTACACGTTAGCTGGAGGTGGAATACACCTCAGCTATTGTGCCGCAATACAAAATATAAGAAAAGGAAAACAGTGGCAAACATTGGCACGCCCACTGAGTCCGCAGTAACAGATGGACTTCGTTCCGGAGGGCTAACAGCTGGTTGTCGTAAAAAGAGAATCATATGCCCTAACAGAAGAGATCTTGAATGGAGGGGGATACTAAACAGGAGGGGGATGGACAAAGGAAATCACAACACAAACGCCGTTGGTGCCGGCTCCAAACCAAAATCAGCAAGTGTGTCCGACCAAACGTGTTCACCGTCCTTGGGACCCCAGTCAGGCAGTCTGGATGCACCAACCGACGTCAACTTCGAGTGAGAGTTTTCATTTCTCTCGACCAATTCATCACTTGGCCTCCCCTCCTCCTCCTCTTCCAACCGCACCCATAACTCGCAAACAATGCACGTCACGGGAGTCAGTGTGCTGGTATGCGCAACACGTTGCCCGGCCATCGGAGCCTGGTGCGTGATATAATGGTGCTGCGCGGTTCACTCGCTCTTTCTGCGCAAAATACGGGACGTCGGACACGCTCATTGTTCACGCGGTGTTTGCATCAGACCTAAGATAAGCTGCGAAGGCAGCGATAATCGAATGTGACGAGCCCCTTTATGTCTGTCGACTTGATGGGCCAGGTTTCACCACCATTTAGGAGAGTTGAAGGGACGGCTGATTTGTAATTTCTGCCCTTCAGGGTAAGAGTAATACCTTGTCTGCGCCACAGGTGGCGGAGATTGGCAAAAGCACCTCAAGTTTTGTTAGACAGTTCGTAACCTCATCTTCAATCCCACGGGTGCTAATATAGCTGCCCAGGTATTTGAATTCCTGAACGACAACTAACAACTCACCAACAAGCGTTAGCGCAGGACTGGGTCCCTGCTAAGCTTGGAAAAAGTACTTTACGTTTCGATGAAGCAAAGCATAGCCTAAAAGGATTGACAACCATTGCTAAACGTTCCAGTGCTCTATGGCATGTTTGGGGGCTGTCACAGATTAGGGCAATATTGTCCGTATACTCCAAGTCCAGAAGTCGCTCACCAGGAAGTAGCTCCACACCTTCTAGGTCGTGTCCAGCGAACGCTGTGCCCATAACTTCATCAATAGCGAAGTTGAAGAGGAAAGGTGACAGTGGGCATCCTTGTCTCACACCGCTGTTGATACTGAAGGGCGGCGAGAGTTTGCCATAAAACCTCACCCTGCCCGAAGTATGCGCGCACAGCGCTTTGATAATGTTTACATATTTATTAGGCACACCTTTTCTCAGCAGACAGTCCCAAAGGGCATATCAATCGACTGGGTCGAAGGCGGCTTTTATGTCAGGAAACACGACAACGGTGGGTCGCCAATAAAAATGGCGGTGCTCCAACACTTGACGCAATGTGAAGATGTGGTTGATGCAGCCCCGACCTCGACGAAATCCGGCTTGCTCTTCACGAATCTGGCTTTCACGAGTGCCAGTCAGTCTGTGGAGAATGACAGAGGCAAGCAATTTAGAGGCAATCGAAATCAGACTGATCCCTCTATGATTGCCGCATTCCAAACGGGAGCCTCCCTTGAAAATTGGGACAATGACGGAGCGGTTCCAGTCTGTCGGGACTGTCTCCTGCTCCCAAAGTTTTACTAGCAACTCGTGTAGATCATCTACTAGAGCAGGTCCCCCGACATTTCAACAGGCTGATCTGACGTTCGAGCTCTGCGCGTGTGGGCGAATCCGAGGAGACGGCCCAAGTAGAAGGGCGCTCAATGCCCGAAGAAGAAAGCGATAACTCAGGTTGGTTAAATTGCCTTGCAGAGTGTTCAGCTCAACGCTCCAAGCGTGTTGACAAGCTGTGGATCCGCTGCCCACTATAGTTGCGTATGGTCTCACTAACACCAGGTCTCCTGCTGCCTGCCTACCGTATGAGACGGAATAATTTAAGATGATTACCCAAGGGGCGCGGCTGTTTCCATCTCAATGGCACAATGAGACCACCAGGTTTCGCTGTCCTTCCTAAGGCTGGCACTTAGTTTTGCCCTGAGATTTTTGCGAGCATCATTATATTTGCTTCCAACAGGAATGCGTGGGCGAGCATCCATAAAATACATAGACTGTGTAGAGACTCAATGTCCGAGTTGGCGATTTGCTTTGCCACATGAAGACATGCATGCTGACAGTAACGTTTGAGGAATATGCGACCAGTGATCTACAACGGTGTTTAGTGGACGCTTACTCAGCCCAGATGTCAGCGCAATATGGTATACATTCAGAACATCTGACTTCGCCAGCTGGGTGGTGTCAATCCGTTCACATCGACGTTGCGGAAGTCCACCGAAACGCACTCGGAGGTCGGCACAGACAAGTGTGTGGTCAGAGTCCACGCTCGTGCTCCTAACCGAGCGGCAATTTTGGGCACAGACTCTCCAGCGGTAACTGATCGCGATATGATCGATTTGCGTCCATGGTTGGCCTGAGGCTGATGGCCGCCAAGTCACGCTTCTGCGGGTGCTATGTCTAAAGTTAATGCCCGCGAGATAGAGGCTAACATCTTCACAGAGCTGTAGCGATCGCTCACCATTATCATTACGGTAGCCTACACCATGTTGGCCGCCCAGATGAAGCTCATCAGAGGACAATTTTCCGACTTGGACGTTTAGATCGCCAGCCAACACCAGAGTATCCGTGCTTCTTCTGTAACGAAAAAGCTCGTGATGTTGCCGATGGAAGTCATCTTTTACCGAATCTGTGCTACAGTTTGTAGGGGCGTAAGCCGCAATGACAAACAGGCACCGTTTGTCCCCGCGCGACTTCATAGCACGAAACGAACCAGATAATCTA